CTCTCCTTCCAACTCTCATTAAAACTCTAGCAGCAGCATTTTGGATTAACTGAAGACTTCTTAAAGAGGCTGTCACTTGTCAACTCTGAGTTTCAGCTCCCTCTGTAGGTAATGGATTAAGGTCTGGAGACTGGCTAGACCACTCCATGACCTTCATGTGCTTCTTTCTGAGCCACTCCATTGTTGCCTTGGCTGGATGTTCTGGGTCATTGTTGTGCTGGAAGACCCAGTCACGACCCATCCTGGCAGAGAGGAGGAGGTTGTTACTCAAGATTTTACAKTACATGGCTCCATCAATTCAAATATCCTGCCTTGAGCTCATTAAGAATTTCCACGTGTAGTGACTGATCTCACCCTCATGATCAAGGAAACCCCACAAGGTCAGATTTTACATGAAGGYCCAGATCATTTTGTATTTCTTCCATTGTCTTATTATTGCACCAGCAGTTGTCTCCTCCTCACCCACCATCTTACTGATGGTTTGTAGCTCATTCCAGCCTTGTGCAGATCTATGATCTGGTCCCTGACATCCTTAAACAGCTCTTTGGTCCTGCCCATGCTGTAGAGGTTAGAGTCTGACTGATTATTGAGTCTGTGGACAGGAGTCTTTATACAGGWGACAATTTRAAACCTATCCTTAAAATTAYAGACTGTTCATGTCTTTGTAAGCTGGCAAACATASAAAATCAGCAAGAGACCAAATAGTCCTGATGCATCTCCAAGAGACCAAATACTTATTTCCTCTGCTGTATGTGGCACAGTTGTAGCTGCAGTTGGAGAAAACTTGTTAAATGTGTCGCTGCCGTAATTACTTTTGTTCTTGCTTTGTGAGACACCTGTCTGTGGAGCAACAGCRTATTATTCTGCATTTCTGTATAATATTGGTGGTTTTTGTAGCCGTGACATCATGTCAAGTTGTACAGATTGTCTGTTAATTATACATATTTTCCCCCATTTTGCATGGATACACACATACAGGGCAATCTCGTAGATTTTCTTCAAAATGTTGGCTTCAAATTTATGAAGTTTCAGAACTGGCAGCCTGGTCTCATCCAGCGCTTTCTTCCGCTGCAGACTCGGTTAAAGCTAAAGCTGCCTCATCTGACAGAGAATCAGAGACAGTAGCAGGAAGTTTGGCATGAATTTTATTCCTTATTAAAATTATTTTATCTATAAAGAATCTCATGAAGTCATCACTCCTTAGAGTTATAGGGAGATATGGCTCAACAGAGATAGGACTTTTCATTAGTCTAGCTACAGTACTGAACAGAAACCTGGGATTGTTTTTATTATCTTCTATTAAAGATGAATAATAAACAGATCTAGCTTTATGAAGGCTTTCTTGTATGCTAGCAGGCTGTCTCTCCAGTTTAAATAAGATTCTTCTATGTTAGTGGAGCWCCATTTTCTCTCCAGTTTTCTAGATGCCTGTTTGAAAGAACATATTTTATCAATTTTATGAAGTGGTTTTTGCATTAAAGTTGTATTATTGTCAACAAGGTCATCTAAGGTGCTACTACTGTATCTGTRTCATTATTGTGTAAGACAGAGGAAAATAAAGATGGAAGAGATTCTTTAAATTTAGCTACAGCATTCTCTGATAAACATCTGCTATAATGAAATTTACTCTCATTAGCTATAAAGTTAGCTAATGTAAACTCAAAAGTTATTAAAAATGGTCAGAGAGAACAGGATTGTGAGGATGTATTATTAATTTCTTACTCTCCTTGCTATAACTGCATCAATATTCAATAATAAATCAGTCAGACAATCTTAGAATTCACTTAAAAACTGACTATAAGTGCCTGATAAATAACAAGTAAATGTGTTTTTTCTGATTTCCATTTTGGATGAGARAGACTGAGGGACAAAGACTCAAATGAATTATAACTAATATTTGATTYAGCATTAATTAATAATTCTGACTGATAAACTGCAGCTACTCCACCACCACGATCTGATGTTGTATGAGCATGAAAATTTAAATAATTAACATGAGTGGATTCATTTATAATAACAAAATCCTCCTATTGTAACCAGGTTTCAGTAAGACAGAATAAATCAATATGATGATCAGTTATCAGATCATTAACTAACAGAGACTTAGAAGAAAGAGATCGATCTGATGTTTAATAATCCTCACCTAATAGTTTTAGTATATAATACTATGTTTACCTTCATCTTGAGCAGTTTTTATTCTGAAAGAACAAATAATATCTGATTGTGTAATGCTTTCTATGAAACAACAATGTTATATTTGGCTGATGGATTTCTGTTTCTGTARTAATTTGCATTTGAATATTTGTGTGACAGGTCTTCCTCTGCAAACCTGTGTATGAGCAAGTTCTCCAGACTCTGGACAATTTATTGCTGATTGAGAAGGAAAACGCCACGTCAAGCCATCCACCTACTCCTCCCCCACCAACGCCTTCATCCCATAAACCTCACTGCTTTCCTGACCTCCAAGGAGGACTGTTTGCAAGGGATATTCCTAATATCACCATCCCCCATTCCTCCCTTTCTTCTCCTCTGTCTCTACAATTGCATAAACCCACTCCAAGCTTTCTGTCGTTCACYCAGCTGAAGATCACCTTACACGTACCAGAGCTCCAAATCCAGCTAAATGCTGACCTGACTCAGGGTTCTCAGGGTTTAGTCAGTGTGCGCTTCCAAGATTTGGAGGCTGATTTTACCAAAGATCATCCATATTTACTTGAAGTACAGCTTGTTCTGCATGCTCTACTGATGGAAGATCTCCTGGAGCGGAACCCTGACTCTAAGTACAAGCATTTGATCTTGTCTCGTGGAGCTCCCAAATCCTCCACCTTCAATCCCAAAGAGTATCTTTCCCAAAGYTGTCCATCAGCGTCTAATGCTGTCTATCCAGACATGCCCCGTTCATTGCCTGCCCAGATGGAAGAAGCCCAGAATGTTTTTCAGCTCTACCAGAGACATCCCAGCACACCCTCATCCTGCAGCCGTAAAACTAAAAATGACCCAGACTGTCCCAGCACRCCACCTCCTTCTCCTACACCTCAGACCATTTCTCCTCAGCCTCCTGGAGGCTTTGATGATTCATTAGTTCATATAAATATGCTCCTTGTTGACCAAAATCATCCMGAGTTCAAAACCCGCTACGGGAGAGTAGGGCGACGTGTGGATGTGGACTTTAACTGTCTGGATGTTTTGATCACACTTCAGACCTGGGTGGTGATTCTGGACTTTTTTGGAATTGGTTCCACAGCCAATAATCACGCAGTAAAGGTGCCAGTCTCACCCCAACCTATGCCAGTACACTTTCTAAATGAGCCCGATGCCTGTGAGGAGGAGACATCGCAACCTGTCAACACAAAGGTGGACTTAAAGGTATGTTACAACATTTGGTGCATGCAGTGAAACGTTTGGCTCTCAAGATATGAAAATAAACTGATAGGATACTGTTGTACTTTGTTTCGAAGTAAATATAGCCCACATGTAGACTATTGTTATGAACCCCAGGAAAAATAGTCTTAACTACGGTAAAGACTAATGGCAATCTAAAATAAATAAATATGGTAGATTCTGTTGGAGAMTTGTTTGTTAGGCCGGTATGTATGTCTCTGCATTGTGGCTGTCGGCCATACTTGGCAAAGGACATTTGTGRKTAAATCTCCAAAATGTCTCAAAACATTTGTGATGRGCAGAGTGTAGTGCTATGTTGCTAATGCTAGGTCCTAGCCACTTATCCTATTATTACAATCTCTGCTGGTGCTGGCTYAATATAAACAAACATTGCTTAGCCTGGGGGTTGCAATAAGCCCTGGTGGCATGCCACCAAACAGGTTTATAATACACTGGGGGAAACCCTGGTGAACATTACTGAGAACAAGATCACTGAGGACACCATGATTTATGACGCACAGAGGATTTCACCATGAAGAGAAATCACTACACGGAATTAATTTTTCATGTTTATAAAAGTATATGAGGGAGTTGATAGTCACACATTTATTGTGTAGTGCTCCTCAACAAAGCAATTGAATGCAGGCCCATACTGTTGTGTTTGTCAGCAGTAGGACCCATGAGCAGACTCATACAAAGAGCTAAAACAAAAATAGTTTATTTTAAAAAAGGCTGGCAGGGCGGCAAATACTTTCATAAGCGGCTCAGGGATACATGAAG